TTTTGTCTTGCACACTTTTTTCCTTTATTTTTACATTCAGAATGCTTTAAAAATTCCATTTACAAGACAATTGTTTATAATAAAATGCTATTCAATCGGTAGACTCATAATGATTGAAAACAATGATTTTGTTTGAGTTTGGGTTTGACTAATTCGTAAAAAAAAGAAAAAAAAAGCTAATTAAGACATGCGTGTCCGTCAACCTTAAACAATAATCTTTGGCAATTTTATTTTTCAGTCTTTATGATGGTCGATACTTGATCTATCTCTTACTGTTACATCCCCGGGCAACGCCGGGCTCTACTACTAGTCTGAAACAAAGCAAAAAGCTTCTTATGATATTCAGTCGTTTTAAACAACACTTTCTAAATATTAACTGTCTTTGTCACTGTTTAATTTTGTTGGTCAGATGAGTGTCAGTATTTTCAGCATGATGTATTCTAAACATTTATGATAGAAAACTACAAGCTGCTTATGGTTCTTGTGAACAAAAACAGTTTTAGAGAGAATGGAAACAAAAAGGACACTTATACAGAACATCAGAAAGAGAGAATTAAAATTTCTAGGGCACATAATGAAGAAACAGGGCTTAGAAAATTTGACACTCACAGGATATATTAAGGGACAGGAAGACATTGTATAGCCTACATAAAGAGCTTGTGTAAGTGGTTTGCAGAACAGGGATTAAGAGAGAAAAAAGACAAAATTTACTGAGAGCTATAAAGGAGAGGAAGCTGTGGAGAGCTTTGATCACGTACATCTTAAAGGGACATGGCACGGAGAACAAGAGAAAATGAGCTTGTGTAAATGGTTGGCAGAACAGGTATTAGTAGAGATAGCAAAATGATAGGCTTACTTAGAGATACAAAGGAGAGAAAGCTGTGGAGAGCTTTGATCATGCACATTCTGAAGGGATATGGCATGGAGAAGACAAACTTTACTAAGAGCTACAAGGGAGAGGAAGTTGTGGAGAGTCTTGATCAAGCAAATCCTTAAGAGATACGTCATAGAGAAGAAGTAAAAACGAGCTTATGTAAATGATTGACAGAACAGGGATTATGAAAGATAGCAAAAAGACAAACTTTACTAAGAGCTACAAAGGAGAGGAAGTTGTGGAGAGCCTTGATCATGTACATCCTTAAGAGACATGGCACGGTAGAAGAAGTGAAAATGAGCTTATGCAAATGATTGGGAGAACAGGGATTAGGAAAGATAGCAAAAAGACAAACTTTACTAAGAGCTACAAAGGAGAGGAAGTTGTGGAGAGCCTTAATCACGTACATCTTTAAGAGACATGGCATGGTAGAAGAAGTGAAAATGAGCTTATGCAAATGATTGGGAGAACAGGGATTATGAAAGATAGCAAAAAGACAAACTTTACTAAGAGCTACAAAGAAGAGGAAGTTGTGGAGAGCCTTGATCACGTACATCCTGAAGGGACATGGCAAGGTAGAAGAAGTGAAAATGAGATTATGTAAATGATTGGGAGAACAGGGATTAAGAAAGATAGCAAAAAGACAAACTTTACTAAGAGCTACAAAGAAGAGGAAGTTGTGGAGAGCTTTGATCACGCACATCCTGAAGGGATATGGCATGGAGAAGAAGTGAAAATGAGATTGTGTAAATGGTTGGGAGAAAAAGGATTAAGAGAGCAAAAAGACAAAATTTACTGAGAGCTATAAAGGAGAGGAAGCTGTGGAGAGCTTTGATCACGTACATCTTAAAGGGACATGGCACGGAGAACAAGAGAAAATGAGCTTGTGTAAATGCTTGGCAGAACAGGGATTAGGAGAGATAGTGAAAAGATAGAAGCTACACAGGACAGGATGTTGTAGAGAGCCATGATCATTAATGTTCTGAATGGAAGTAGTACATAGAAGAAGTATGAATCTATCACACAACTTTTATTACAGGAAATAAAGAAAAGAATACTGAAATGTTATGTAATATCAATCCTCCTATATGAAAGTGAATGCTGGACAATCTCCTCACAGATGGAGAAGAGACCTGAAGCGTCAGAAAAGTGGCTCTACAGAAGGATGATAAGAATAGCATGGACTGAACATCAATAGTTTTAAGGAAAATAAAAAAAAAGGACACTTATACTTAACAGATAGAGATAATTGAAATCTGTAGGTTATATAATGAGGAAAGAGGGCTTGGAAAACTCAACACTCACAAGAAATATTGAATGCAAGAAGGAGAGAAGAAAATAGTGTAAAACCTACATAATGAGCTTGTGTAAATGGATGGCAGAATAGGGACAAACTGTACTAAGAGCTACTATTGAATTGACGCCGTTGTCCAAAAGCTCCCCAGCAGGAAGGGTCTATACAATAGACATACTGAAGGCAAGAGGCTGAGAGGAAAATGGCACATAACCTACCCAATGAGCTTGTGTAAATGGTTGGCAAACCAGGGTTTAGGATAGATAGCAAAAGACAAACATTACTAAGAACTACAAAGAACAGGAAATTATGGAGAGTCATGACACAGGAGAACCTCTGTAATATTACAATATAATTCCTCCTATATAGCAGTGAATTCTGCACAATCTTCTCAGCAACAGAAATGTGATTCTACAGAAGGATGCTGAGTATACCATGGACTAAACATGTGAGCAACGACAAAGTTTTAGAGAAAATGGAAACAAAAACGACACTTATACTTAACATCAGAAAGAAGCAGTTGAAATTTTAGGACACATAAGAAAAGAGGGTTTAGAAAATTTGACGTTCACGGGACATGTTAAATAATAGTTTAGCAGACTATTATTTTTTAGAGGAAGTGTATCTCTGCTCAGACTTCCCGAGGTTGAACTTTGAGGTCAGATGAAAGACAAAACAAGAAAGTTAATTTTATTTGGCTGAACAAGAATTGGCTGTAAATGATAGATACAGAGAAAGGGTTTTCAGTGAGTTGTTTCTAAACCATCGCACAATGTAGATGTTTTCTTTTGTGTCTGAAATCGCTCCTCAGTGAGGGGCAACGACCCCCACTGGATAGATAGAACATATCAACATGAACGTTAATAACATAGTTAAGTTTAAAATTCCCTGTGTTGAAGAGCGAGAAGAATGCAACTTTATTATCAAATTGATATCGTCGCCCAAGAGCTTCCAAGAAGGGGCTGTACAACAGACATATTTAAGGCAAGATGCTCAGAGGAAAATGGTATATAACCTACCTAGCGAGCTTGTGTAAATGGTTCGCAGAACAGGGTTTTAGGAGAGATAGCAAAAAGACAAAATTTACTAAGAGTGAACAGGAAAGTGTGGATAGCCATAATCACCCATGTCCTGAATGGACATGGTACATAGAAGAAGCAGTCACCTACCTAAGTACTAATCAGCTTTGTCACTTCTGTACGTTGATACACAGACAAGTAGGAATTTTTTAATATTTTTAATTTCTAAGCTTTGCTCAGTTTGATAAATAGCAACATACTTTTTATATCAGCTCTCGTCAAGTGCTTATCTCACCATTAACACATTTCAATATTGCTTAACGTTGATGCTTAGATGATTATCGGTGTTTTCAGAATGTCAAATTCTAAGCTATTCTTTGAGAGAAATCCACAAGTTGTTTCGAGTTCTTCAGTGTTTCTAAGATGTCACCAATCACTGGTCCATTTCAAAGCTTGTTAACCTTAGTCTTTGAATGGTAACTTTATAATGTTATTTATTAGTCTGGAGTATCCTAAATAACCACCAACCAATTTGTACTAATATTGCTTGATAAAATAAAAAGCGAAACTTTCAACATGGCTTGGCTATATATAAAAAAAGAAGGATTGACATATTTGTATTCTGAAAAAAAAAAGATATCTTAAAAGCAATCTACTTTCGTGCTGTTCAAAGCCACATTTTAAACTTTGTGAAAACATCCATGTATGCCTAAATAGGTAGGTGAATTATAAAAAGATAAACCCTCACCCACCTCAAAGTTGTGAAAAAGAACAACCCACTTACCGTATCCCCAGGTGACTGGTGGAAATATTTTCGTCAAAATGTTGTGATCATTGAACTGACTTAACTCATCATATAATAAAACTGCTGCATGTAGAAATGATAAAATTGGTGATTAATTCTTGTACAAATACGTTTTTAGGAAAGGTATGAGTCTATCTCTTCTCCTATGGGTTAATTAGTAAGACTTGTATCACTAAATCATTAAAAAAAAAAAAAAACTGAAAATTTAAAAAAAAAAAAAAATGATTTAATAGATAGAAAGCTGTTTCACCTTCAAAAGAAGAGGCTTATATTATGTTGAAACCCCAATTTCTGTACAGTTACTGAAGTTAAGTAACATTAAGCCAGGTCAGGAACTAGATAGGTGACCACTTGGGAATACCAAGTGCCGTAACCTTGAAAGTGTGGGTGGTGTAATGGATAATGGCTTGGAACTGTTAATTGGAGAGCAAAATTCCAATTGGGTTTACACATAAATACCCTTGAGAAAGGTATGAATTCACCTCCTCTCCCCCAGCTATGGGTTAATTAGTAAGAATTTTATCACTAAATCATTATCTAAAAAAAAAAATACTGACAATCTAAAAATATTTTCTGGCTTTAAATAACCTGCAAAAGGTTATGCTGTAGAAAACAAATCAATCAAGTATTAATTAGCTACACAAGCATGTCTTTTAGATTTGTTTACATTCTCTGGATTTGATTTGTTTGTTTAACAGCATATCAACTCCTTATGCTTCATTTAATGCCAAAATTTAATTCTCTTGGGAGCTTTGTAACATTTTGATAACAGCCATGAAGTCCGAATGTCAATACTGTAAATAATAACTCCTCATCCTAGAAATTCAGACAGTAATTTAAATCCAGTTTACATCAGTCCTCATGACACTCTAGTAACCAAAGATCTCATCTGACCAAGATGGGAAAAAGTGTCGATCATCCTGTTCTTTGCTTAAACTATCATTTGTTTAAGAGTTGAAAAAACTGATTTAATGGGTAGAAAGCTGTTTCCCTTTCAAAAGAAGAGGCTTACGGCCATATCACGTTGAAACACCGGTTCGTGTACGATCACTGAAGTTAAGCAACGTTGAACCGGGTCAGGAACTAGATGGGTGACCACTTGGGAATACTAGGTGCTGTAAGATTTGATGTGCTGGTGGTGTAATGGATAATGGCTCGGAATTGGAAATCGGAGAGTCAAGTTCCAATTATGTTCCGTTATATTCATTTATGCACAAATTCCTTTGGGAAAGGTATGAATTCACTTCTCTCCTCCCCCATATACAAGTTAATTTAATTGATTCGTTTTCTATGGGTTATCAACCCTTTGCATGTTAATGGTAAGACTTTTAGCTGTAAACCATCATTATCTCAAAAAAAAAAAAGTTTTAAGCCATAGAAAATCAATCAATCAATCAATCAATCAAATACTGATTAAGCATGTATTTAGATTTATTTACATTCTCTGGAATATAAATGTACAGAAACTACCGTGGCTACAAAGTGAGGGATTAATTTATTTATGGATTGCAATATAAAATTGATTACCCACTTTATATCCACATAATTGTTTATCAAATTCTGGTTAGGTGTGGACCTACCTCTCCCCCCAGCTATGGGTTAATTAGTAGGTCTTGTATCTCGTAAATCATTATTATCTCGAAAGAATTCTCACAATCTAACAATATTTTCTAGCTTTAAATAACTCGCAAAAGTTTGATAAGTTGTAAAAACAACTCTCTTAATCAATCCAGTTATTTCAATAATTTTGAGGGTACTCCTAAGCCGTAGCCTTATGCCAGACTAAGAAAAAAAATTAAATATTACCAACTACTGTGTTACAAAGTGTTGCTTTTTCTACAAGTGAATCATGCAAATTATCAATATTATAATGAGTATACTCCAAAATTGTGATGTCCTAATGTTTGTGGTTATTATCACAGCCTTGTTTGGAAACCAGTTTATGAGAAAGAAAACACTGAAATTTTAAGCTTGAGTATACTGGTGTACACATGGTCCTCTAAAGGAAGTAAACACTGACAGAAAATCCAGAGTATGGAGGTTTGGCTATACCAATGCAAATAATGCTTTTCAAAAGCTAAGCAAAGTATTAAGAAACAAAAAAAACTTTGTTAGAAACAATGAAAAGAGTAATAAACTTTTATGTCGTAATTTGCCTTCTATATGGCAGTGAATGCTGGACAATCTTCTCCCGGATGAAGAGGACACTTGAAGCAACAGAAATGTTTCTACAGAAAATAAAAACAAAAAGGACACAAAACTTAATCAGAAACCTGCAGTTGAAATTTCTAAGGCAGATAATGAGGAAAGAAGTCTTGGAAAATGTGATACCCACAAGAGAGATTGAAGGGACAGAGGAAGATAATGTGTAACCTATCTAGAGAGCTGCATAAATGAGTGACAGAGCAAGGTGTAGGAAAGATAACAAAACAACAAAATTTATTAAGAGTTACATAGGACAGGAAATTGTAGAGAGCCATGATCACCTATGCCATGAAGGGACCCAGGACATAGAAAAACCGAATTTGTTATGTTCATTCTTGCACTAACAAATTTTGAAAAGCGACACATCCGTCTCTTCTCTCCAGTCACAGGTTAAATAGTAAGGTAGACTGGTTTCTTTAGCTTTGGTTGGCTGGTAATTATACATTTATATTTTTTTATTAATTTTTTTTATTAATTTTTTTTAAGGAAAGTTTAACTAAAAAAGGCCCAAGAGCCACTCAAGGTAAAAGGTTATTGAATGAGAAGTGTGCTATAAACACAAAAGGGAGAAGTCAGAAGTGAAGATTACAAAGATAGATAACGATTGACCCTAGACTTGAAGTAAAGATTATAGTGTTCGGGAAGCATCCACATGGGAGTCTGTTCCACAAAGGAGCAGTTCCTAATCTACAATTCTCTTTAATAACATATTTTAAATCAACCATTAGCCCTTACAGGGAATACTGCTGCCATATATGGTATGTAGCCCCCGCTGTTCATCTCAAGGCCTTCAACAAAATCCAGAGACTGATATCCAATGTGGTTGGTCCTGGTCTGGCATCTTGTCTGCAGTCACTTTCTCACAGATGTGCCGTCACTTCCCTCTGTCTTTTCTACAAGTGCTTTCATGGTAATTGCTCCAACAAGCTATTTTCGCTGGTTCTCAAACTGCATGCATGTTACTAGGTCGACATCTCGGTCCCAACCTTTCACTGTTGAAACAGTTAAATGTAGCCATCTCTTCTACTCCAATAGCTTCATGTCTCACACTTCCTGTCTGTGGAACACCCTTCCTCTTACTTGCTTCCCTGACAGTTATTGTCTTCAAATATTTAAATGTAATGTCAATTGACATCTGCTGATGTCTTAATCTAATTCCCCGTCCTTCTCTTTATCCTTTCCTCAATCCCGTCTCTTTACTCTTGTTCCCATTCTCTGTAACTCCTTGTGTTCTAGAGGCACTCTGCCTTACTTGGGGTGAAATGCTTTAAAAAAAAATTTAATCATCCAATATCTATGAACTGCATTTCTCTAACATGTTTATATGTTTATTGATGAGTTTGTCATATGCCGACAAAAAATTTTCTTTGTTATTTATTTTCTATATGTTTTAATATTCAATTTTCTATGATTCTTTTTTTTCTCTTTCAGGATCAGGAAATTTTTACAATTTACGAAAACGTATGTAAGTATATATATTTATATATATTTCTTTTTTTTTTTTTTTTTGTCAGCTAATACCTTGTTAAGGACACATCTGCAGGTTATTACAGAAATCGTTTTGACAATTATCATCTTGACAAAAGAAGGTCAGTTAAGTGAAGCGGACCTCCTGAGAGCCAGATCAACGGACCCTGACAAAAAAATTAGCTGGGTAGAGGGGACAAAGAGTCAGGTCAACAAACTCTGTGTTCTTGATGAATGATTTTTTTTTTTTTGATGAAAGATGGAAAGACAAAGAAGGATTTTTCTCTATAAAGTCTAATGGTCCCACGCAGCCTAATCCTGTGGCCGCTCGTCTGCCATGTGAAAGGAAGGCACACGCAGGTTGAACCGTTCACCCTCTCACCTCACCTTACTCTGATACACTTAACTATAGCTGGCTTTTACAAGAAGGGTGCAACTGAATAAAATTTGCTGACTGCTACATTTCGTCACATGGTTTTTCTTTCTTGGGTAACCAACCAAAGAATTATTTTTCTTCCATTAGTTCCACAAGCGTTTGACTAAAAGAAGCTTTACCCTGAGAATGAATTTGATATTAAGTCTGGGCTGCAATGCTACATAACCCCAAATATAAACATTTTGTAAGTTTTCTTAAATTATAAGCACAATGGGCCAGATTGGTAACACAAGGTTAGTAATGCAAAATTAGTAACACAAGGTTAGTAATGCAAAATTAGTAACACAAGGTTAGTAATGCAAAATTAGTTACTCAAGGTTAGTAATGCAAAATTAGTAACACAAGGTTAGTAGCTAGAATAGTAACAAGATTAGTAATGCAAGATTAGTAACAAGAATAGCAACAAGGTTAGTGATGCAAGATAAGTAGCACAAGATTAGTAACAAGAATAGTAGTTAGATTAGTAATTCAAGATTACTAACAAGATTAGTAACATAAAATTAGTAGCACAAGATTATTAACAAGAATAGTAGTAAGATTAGTAATTCAACATTACTAACAAGAATAACGACAAGATTAGTAATACAAGATTAGTAACAAAATTAGTAATGCAGAATTACTAACAAGATTAGTAACAATAATAGTAGCAAAATTAGTAATGCAAAATTACTAACAAGATTAGTAACAACGAGCAGTAGAGCCTGGCGTTGCCCGGGATGTAACAGTAAGAGATAGATCAAGTATCGACCATCATAAAGACTGAAAAATAAAATTGACAAAGATTATTGTTTAAGGTTGATGGACACGCATGTCTTAATTAGTTTTATTTTTTTATTTTTTTTACGAATTTGTCAGACCCAAATTCAAACAAAAACATTGTTTTCAATCGTTATGAGTCTACCGATTGAATAGAATTATAAATAATCGTCTTGTAAATGGAATTTTTAAAGCATTCTGAATGTAAAAATAAAGAAAAAAGTGTGCAAGACAATAAGAAACACTACCTGCCAAAAAAAAAAGTGAAGTTTTGTTGAAATCGGTTGAAAAATGTAGGAAATCCGATCCCATATATAAATGTACAGACACACACACACAACCAACCAACCTGGGTTTTACAATAATTATAACTCGATATTAATAAGTATAACTCGATATGAGTTGTCCCCCTTTCATTAATGCCTCTTAATCGTATTTTCAAATTGATTTCGTGCAAAAACAATTCTGTTTTTCCAATTTTTAGCGCTGTCAGAACCACCACAAGGTAATTTTACGTAGTCCTGTGAAGTTTTGATGAAATCGGTTGAGAAATGTAGGAAATCCGATCCAATATATAAATGTACAGACACGCACACACAACCTGGGTTTTATAATAAGTATGATGATAGTAGCAAGATTAGTAATGGGAATAGTAACAAGATTAGTGATGCAAAATTAGTAGCAAGATTAATAATAAGATTAGTAACAAGAATAGTAGCAAGATTAGTAATGCAGGTTTACTAACCAGGATAGTAACAAGATTAGTGATGCAAGATTAGTAGCACAAGATTAGTAACAAGAATAATAGCAAGATTAATAATAAGATTAGTAACAAGAATAATAGCAAGATTAATAATAAGATTAGTAACAAGAATAGTAGCAAGATTAATAATAAGATTAGTAACAAGAATAGTAGCAAGATTAATAATAAGATTAGTAACAAGAATAGTAGCAAGATTAATAATAAGATTAGTAACAAGAATAATAGCAAGATTAATAATAAGAATAGTAACAAGAATAATAGCAAGATTAATAATAAGATGAGTAACAAGAATAATAGCAAGATTAATAAGATGAGTAACAAGAATAGTAACAAGATTAGTAATGCAAAATTACTAACCAGGATAGTAACAAGATTAGTGATGCAAGATTAGTAGCATGACAATTTAGATACTGACAAATCAAGGACAATAAAATGCTTCCTTTTTTTTAAAAAAAAAAAGAAAAGTGAGCATTCTCAATTTAACAAATGCAAGG